GTACATAGTATTTTTTAAAGATTCATAACATCCTTGCTTTTGTACACTATGTATCAATAACGTTCAGGACCATGTGTGGCTTTTGAATAGCTTTCTCAACTTACTCTAACATCGTCAAAGACTTGTGTAAGTGTATACCAAGGCTCCTACGTTCATGCATCCTCTTTAAAATTACATTCTTTAATTTATATTGTTTCTTTTCAATCCTCATCAAAACTAATTGACATTTCTGTGATATATTTCATGTCATGTCTGCCTATTTCATAAAAACGGAAAGAACTGCGGATGCTGTAAATCAGGAACAAAAACAGAAGTTGCTGGAAAAGCTCAGCAGGTCTGGCAGCATCTGTGAAGAAAAATCAGAGTTAATGTTTCAGGTCCGGTGACCCTTCCTCAAACTATTCTGAGGAATGGTCACCGGACCTGAAACGTTAACTTTGATTTTTCTTCATAGATGCTGCCAGACCTGCTGAGCTTTTCCAGCAACTTCTGTTTTTCTGTTTTTGTTCCTGCTTATTTCATAGACTCTAAGGATATCATAAACAACTTCCTACTATTAAGTGCAGTATCTGCAAACTGATATCATACCATTCAAATGCAAGTAAAGAGTACCACTGACAAAATCCTGAATAACACATCTAGCATGTCTACAACCACCCACAGGTTCCCCTCCAAAGCACAGATTCTCCAGCATTGGAACCATATTGTTGTTCCTTCACTATTGCTGGGTAAAAATCCTGGAACACTCCATCTAACAGCTTTTTGGATACAGGTACCCCCAACAGACGGCAGGCCAACACCTTCTCATGGATAAGGATAAGAAATCAATACCAACCTGGCTATATCTCAATCAAATTTTTAAAAAATGCTCAATGTTCAGTGTTAAAAATAACATTGGATACAAAAAGCTGTCAGCAAAGAAACCAAACAATGAAAACTAGGGATAGTAGGAACTGCAGATGCTGGAGAATCCGAGACAACAAGGTGCAGAGCTGGATGAACACAGCAGGCTAAGCAGCATCATAGGAGCAGAAAGGCTGACGTTTCGGGCCTAGACCCTTCATCAGAAATGAAAACTAGGGGTTTGCAGCAACCTATCAGCACTGCAATTCATCTCAATCATAAAATGATTATTGCACATTACTTTCTTTCTGCTCAGGTTTTCTGGAAGAGCAGTTCATCTATTTCTATTCCCGTGCCCTTTCCTTGTAACCCAGCAAATGTTTTTACATCAGCTAATTATTTTTAGAAAACCTCAATTGAATTTTCCTCCACCACATACTCAAGATGTGAATTCCAGATCCTAACCATTCACTTTTTTTCCCAAAAAGTTTTATTTCATATCACTTCTTTTTAAACCAAACCTCGGGTTTTTAATCTTTCTGCCAATGGGAACACGTTTTCCTTTGTTTATTCAATCCAGACTCCTCACAATTTTGAAAACCATTATCAGGTATCCTCAATCTTTTCTTCTCCAGTGAGAGTAGACAGATTCCCCAATCTATCAACTCTGAAGTTCCAAGTCCTTGCAATTATTCTTACAAGTCTTTCCTACATCCCTCTAATGACACCTTATGCATGGTGCCCAAAGTTGGAGATAATAATACAGTTAAGGGCGAAACCAGTGTTTTATAGAGGTTATTTATTTGTTTATTTTTGTATTTTTTATATATAAAGCCCACACCCCACGTGCTTCATTAACTATTTCCTCAACCTGGCTTTTTACCTGCAAGACTTGTGCATACATACCCCACGTCTCTCTGTTCCTGCGCCCTGTTTGCAATTGTATCCTTTAGTCTGAACTGTCTCTCATCATTTTTGTAGAAAGAATGAATCACTTCAAGTTTCTCTGTATTAAATTTAATCTATATCATTTATCTGCCTACCAGCCAATGTTGTTCTAAAGTTATCAAATGTCTTTTGCCAGTCCATATCCACAATCTTTGTCCACTGGTAGGAACATGGTATGTAAATATTCAATCACATACTAGTGATAAAAAGGCATGGCATAATTTTTTTTTGATTTCCCCTACCCCATCCCTCCACCTATTATTATAAAGTGGTGTCAGGGAGTTTTACAGTTGCTATTAGACACATATATAAGCAGTAATCTGGGTCAGGTTACCGTACTTACCTCACTTCTCCACAGAGATGCTTGGAATAGGAGATCCTAAAGCAAAAGGAGAAATAATCAAAATGGGCAATATGTTTTGCATCATGTGAGTCCAGTCACTGTTGGCTGTGCTGGAAGGTAAGGCAAGGACACCGGCCACAAGGAAGGCATGGCAGGGTGCTGGCAGCAACTGGAATGTTGTACAAGGTGTTGGAGAGGGGTAGAGGGTGAATAATCGCTGCGCTAAGGGGTGGTTCTGGGACGATGTTAGCTGCACCGGGAGAATAATGGCGACAGAAGTAGAGGTGCATGTGAGAGGTACTGGCTGCGATGGGAAATGGTTAAGTTGAGTTAGAATCATAGAATCCTGTGATGCAGAAAGAGGCAATTCGACACATCGAGTTTGCACCGAGTCTCCAAAGGGCACCCTATCACCATAACCACACCGCACACCCCACCCCAATTACCATGGCTAATCCACCTGGCCTGCACATCCCTGGACACCACAGGGCAATTTTTAGCATAACCAATCCACCTAACGTACGCGTCTTCGGAGTTTTTGGGTGTAGGGACCGGGGGGAGTGAATACTAGCCACAATGGGACACGGTGAGGTGGCAGGATCTGCTAGCAGCTCCGACAGATGAGAAGTTTGTTGGTGGTAGGATGTTCGGTGTGCTGGATGATGAAGATACTGTTCGCTCGCTGTGAGGGCTTGGGGAAGGGAGGGGGCTATGGGCCGCACTGAGAGTCAGTGGTGTGGAGTCACTCGCTGTCCTGGTGGGCGTGGGGTGGGATTGAAAATACCAACCGTTCACTGGAAGATGGTGGGGACGGAAGAACCGGCTGCACTGGGCAGCAGTGGGTGGGTGCGACGAAGGGAGAAGTAAAAAAGATGCTGGACGGTTGGGGGGGGGGGAAAAGAAAGGGGGACCAGGGCAGAGAGGGAGAGAGAGAAACAGGAGAGAGGAGAATATACTGGCCACACTAATGAAGCGGGGGGAGGAGGGGGCGGTCTGTAGATGATACTGGCTGCACGGTCGGGTCGGTTAGGCTACACGTGTGAGGATTAAACAGTGGAACCGTAACGCATCACCCGCTTTAAAACCAAAATGTTTTCAGCCGCCGTGCGGCGACAAACTCGTCCCGTCCTCTTTCCCCTTCTACCTCAAGTCTGCACTGTCACCTAACGAGAAACGTACAAACTAGATTAAGGGATGCAGGATCCTGCTAAAAGACATCAAATTGAAAATGCGGGCCTATGGCACAAAAGCTGCCCCGAATATTCTACTCACTTTTCTTTTAGTGAGCAAATCCCCTATAAGTAGACACTTAGCCAGCACCAGAAGGCATTGGCCTTGTAACTGTCTCACTGATCTCTGTTTGTTTCTCTCCTCCGGACACTGACAGCTCCTCGCGCGCAAAACCAAGACTTCCGGCCCACTCACATCCACGCAGTCGCAGTTCGAGGCGCACGCTGAGAAGTTGTAGTCCGTGGTTCCTGTCTCCGTGGAATAGGAACTACAACTTCCAGCGGCGCCGAGATGGATTTACAAGAGAGGTTAGGGGCGGCATAGCGCGAGCGCTGCCCACCCCTCATCGGCGCTGATTGGTTATCCGTCAGCCTATGATTCGCGGTTGCCTAGGCGCTATTCCATCGCTCAGTGGATGTTCACCATGTCAGTCAAAGTGCGCGTGGCACTTCAAGACGCGTGCGCGGAAATCCGACACAAATGGGAGTCTGCGGGGTTTGCGGTAGGGTTTGTAAGCTCTGGTGTAGCATGTTGGTATGGTGCGTTGGCGGTATTGCAACATAAACTGACTGCTAACCATCCATCCCACGGTGTGTTTATAATCCAGTTGTTCCCTCAGCACATACTCTATTCGAGGCAATTAAAGTTACGTAAATAGTTTAACACTATATATTTAAAGAAAACGTATCCACATCTTGACCAGGGCTCCTTTCGGACTGGGGAAAAAGTTTACGAAATATGTAAAAAAAAATACCGAGCATGTCATTTTATTTAAGACAACAAGGTGCAGGGCTGGATGAACACAGCAGGCCAAGCAGCATCACAGGAGCAGAGAGGCCGACGTTTCGGGCCCAGACCCTTCATCAGAAAAGCTGCAGTTCCTACTATCTCTGATTTCATTTTATTTAAGATTCTTTTCAACTACAATAAACGGGATCGTCTAGCAGTCGTGTTAAGCAGTCATCGCTCGTCATTGTGCAGTATTTGCAAGATATCCTACATATGCCCTCTTTGGTTTTGCTAATCGCTAAATGTAACGTTGCAGATTATTATTATTTAATTTAGTATATAGTTATCTGGATAGAAGCTAAAGCCTTATTAGTCAATCCGTGTAATGAGTGTATCGAATATAACGTTTTGACGTAACGTTACATGTCATATATCATGTCCCTTTGATGAATACTTCTGAAAAGCACGTCGTTTGAAGTTGGTTTAACAAGAGCGATGCCAGTGCCAGATTACTGACTGGCTAAATAATTGCTTCCTCACTCAAATTCAAGTAGCTTTTGTGCATTTGAAAGTTATCGTTGGGTTTACCGCTAATTTACAGCAATCAGTTAACAGGCTGAGATTCGATTCGTTCCAAGCCCAGTGCGCTCTTCGTCCTCTCATTCATGTTTCGTAAATAATTTCAATAAAATTAACCCACAGTGGCACTGTTGCGCAGGCTGCGTGTCGCATTTAGTGTGCAAACATTTGAACACATATCATCGAAATGAACTCAGTAGCAGAACTTAAGACCTAAGCAAAACCACAACAGAAACTGGAAGTCGGCTGCCTCCTAACACTTTTTGAGGAAATAAACTGTGAAGAAACCATCTGAGGGCTTTGATAGGCTCGGATCATAACAAGTAGGCGTTTGCACTTTTTACGATTGGATATGTAAATGATTTTCATAGTGCATTTTTTTTTAGCAAAGCCTTACTCTTGGGGGACATGCTTTATAACTCATTCATTCAAGGATATGTTTTAGTGTGCAATCTACAGCCGTTCCCTGAAAATTATTTCCCCATCAGCGAGGATCAAAATATACTTTTATGTATATATTTGGGACAAGAATCGGATTTGGAAAATAACCAGCGAGATCGTCTCGGCCTCTCGTCTTACAAGGGAATACAGAGTATTTTAAATTCGTGTATGACTCCTACAGCCACCACGTGTTCTTTGATGTCTCATCATCGCTCACTTTTTTCATGACCACAAACTTGCTTTATAATCCCAACCTCCGTGAAACCACCAGTTGGAAACTGTGGCTTTCCCCCCTCTTGATCGCCTTGACCACAAGTTGGATTAGAAATTTTCTCCCCAAAGACATACATTTGGAATATATTAATAGTTGCAGGAGGAATAAGTGGCCTTCCTGAAAAAAAGAAAACTGTTCTTTATTTAAAAGGAGAGAAAACGAAACAAAATAAAGAAACTGGACTGGATTGAGTGATAATAACTGGCATTAATTGGACAGATTGACTATTTGTGGCTACTGTAAGCCCCTAATCAAAGTGTTGTGATGCGTATTCCCGTAGATCCCACTACGAGCCGGCGTTTTACTCCACCGTCCACCACATTACCAGCATCGGGAAAGATGAGCGATGTGAGCGGGATGGTCCCTCACCAGGAGCCCGGGCCCGGAGTGGGAACAGCCGGGGCAGCAGCAGCGGCAGCGCTCGGCAGGTCTCTGATCCGGCCCCATGAGAACCGAACCATGGTGGATATCATTGCCGATCATCCGGCAGAGCTGGTCCGGACTGACAGCCCTAACTTCCTCTGCTCTGTCCTACCATCCCACTGGAGGTGTAATAAAACGCTGCCCGTGGCATTCAAGGTAAAAAAAAAGTTTCTTTTAAGAGTTCGTCCACAGTAGGAACAAAGTACTGGAAACAAAACCAAGCGGTAAAAAAAACACATTGTTAAAGTGAAGATTTGGATTTTCGGCGCATTGGAGTGAATGTAAATGTATTTTTGCCGCTTTTAGTGCGTACTTATGGTAATTTTTTTTAGAATTTATAGCATTTCAGTTATATCTTTCTGTAGTTTGTACTTAAACAGAGTTAGACGACAAAACGGTGAATACGCAGCATTTCTCTGCTGTTACATTATGGCACACAGTACAGACAAACCTATGTCAGAGGACAGTACGTGGATCATTTCTTGAATTTTTAGCTGTTAGTGATTGTTACATAAATATATCCAACAACAAACAAAGTAACTTAAGTAATAGCAACTTGGTGGTACACCCGGTCACTCCAGCTCCTTTACAAAGAGCAGAATGTACGCTTCAAACTAATTCCCTAAACGCCTAAATAAGGCTTTACTGTAATGATAAACAGTCACGGAGATTGAATGGTACAGCTGAGACAGTTGTTCACATTTTCCTGCAAACCATATCGACCTTTTGTTTTAATCTTCACAATAAATTTTATCACAGAGCTAAGTCAACGTCTTGTTTTTTTTTAGTTTTCAACGTATAAGGGGAGATGGAACAAATATACCATCTGTAAAATGACTGGACAATATCCATCTTTAAGAGAGTTCTTTAGCAAATGTTTAAATATGTTGCTTAAGTAAAGCGACTGGTCTTGGAGACAGCCAGGCAGTTCGCCATGGGCGGTAGCTAACCCAGTGTATTGACGCTGTGCTTTCCCCTCTGACAGGTGGTAGCCTTGGGGGATGTTCCTGACGGCACTGTGGTCACCGTTATGGCCGGCAATGACGAGAATTATTCGGCCGAACTCCGCAACGCCTCGGCAGTAATGAAGAACCAAGTGGCTCGTTTCAATGACTTGCGCTTCGTGGGCCGAAGTGGAAGGGGTACAGTAATTTACCTGGTTTAAATTCCTGGATAATTTATCCGCGTTTGCACATTATAAGTAATGATGTGTGTGTGTGTGCTTGCGTGTGTGGTCCAAGTGGTATTTCCGAGGCACGGGAACGTGACACCATCCTGCATATATGCTGGTATAGAAATTATTGTTCAAAGGAGTTAACTGCATCCGATTTTAAAGAATGGTTGTGGGATCTATGTATCTGCCTGGCACTCCACCTATTTCTGCTGTTTATTTTTTGTCAAGTTCTTTTCCACCTGTTTATCGTGTCAACTTCTCGAAATTTTGGAACCTCGCTCTCCTGCTTTTTTGTCTCTGTCCCTTTCCCGTGTTCGACGGCTAATTTAACTGTAGTCTCGTCTTTCAACAAGGAAACATTGTTTAGTCAGATGAGCTGAAAAATCTGGACAAAATTGCAAGAACATTTTTTCCAGATGCCCATTGCTGAAATGTATCTGCGTTCTGAGGTTCAACATCTTTGTAAACATCATCCTCTTCAGAAATTCAGAAATTAGCGAATTGACAGCTTTTATTCCACGTTAATCCTTACTGGATCAGCTTTCTCTTTTCGCTTGAAAGAGACATCTAGTTAATAGCCGGAAGGATTTCTCTTACACGCCAACACTTTTCTAAAATTAATCCTTACGAAAAGGGAGAAAAAAAGGGGGGTTTCTAAAACTCACATTGAGTGCCAAGTCTCTTGTTTTCTGTAAAAAGAAACGTATTAACTAAAGTCAATGCACAATGCAAACACATAAACCGAATATACCTGAAAAAGTTGTTCAAAAAGTTCAAAGAAATCACAAAGGAGTGGTGTACCCAGTTTTACTGTTTTGCTTTTCTGTTGGCTCCCTTCCCAAAAAGCTTTTTTTTTCCTTTCAAAAAAAGGCTAACTGCTTGCAGGCTTTTCACGCATGGAAGATGAAGAAAGCTTCTTTTGATGAAGTGTAATTATGTCCAAACAGACTTGACCCTTTTTTTCTTATGATCTTCATGGAACAAACCCTTGGTTTGCTTTGAAGCAGACGGCTTGTTTCCAGCTCCGAGTGTGCCAAAGGCAGGAAGAGCTACAAAAGAGGTTTTAAGTCGAGACTTGTCTAGTGAGATTCAGTTCAAGAGGAGAGAGAGGAAGAGATAAGATCATTAATTGATGCCCATTTCTACTGAACATTCATTGAGCCACCATCAACAGATCCAGTCAGTGTAAGGACAGGGAAACAAGCATCCAAACTATTTAGTCACTTAGAACTTGAGTTACCTATTAACTGATCTTAGACAGCAGACCAGCATAGATAACTTAACTGGCACAAGTAGAATCAAAAAGATCCAGTACAAAAATAGGACAATGGACAATAGACATTAGGTCAGTTGGATAGTCATTTGCAGATATTTGCAAACTGAAAATTTTAAGAAAGTTAATGCAACTGGCTCATAAAATCAAAAATGTTTCAACAACAGAAATTTTAAAAAAAGGCTGAACAGAAAGACAGAAGGTTTGCAATTATACAACAATGGGCCTTTAAACAAATGTAGATATTAACATTCACCAAGTGACTGTGAGTAACAGAGCTTGAAACAGTCTGTTCTGATACATTCACTGGTTTATGCAAAGTTCTGTATTGATGCAAAGTGATGACTGTTTTATTGACTCACTTTACAACACCCACCTCTTCCTGTCTTGAAGCATTACTGCATTAACTGCTGTTGGAAATGACTAACAATTCCATATCTAACTTATCACATATGTGTATTCGAAAGGTACAGGACATTTGTTCATATAATCCATTCCATTTTCTGATATTCCCCAAGCATTTTACAAATTGTGCAGCCACTCCATAGTATTAAATAACAGACTTTTTGAAATATTTAGATGATTAACAGATATCCATTTAACTCTAAAGAGTAAGGTAGTCACACAGAAAGATGCAGTCTTCATAGAAATATTCACATTTCAAAGTCAGTAATGCTCTTTTGTTTGGAGGAATGCCTTCACCAGGTTTTAAATTATATTATGGATAACATAAACTATCAACAAGGACCTTGTCAAATTTAAACAGGTTCACAAAAGATATTCTGGTAATGATATTATTAATAAATATGTGCCTTTGAGGTGGTTAATTTAAAGATTTTAAAACAGTACTATTCCAGGTGAACTTCTTCAGTTCACTGCAGAGCCAATGATCAATGTAAGAAAGAAGAAAATCTTGCAGTTTATTTACCTTTCATGACCCTGAATATCCCAAAATGTTTTACAGGCACTTTTGAGATATTGACACTTTATAATGTAGGAATTACGAATGTAATTTTTTTGCCTCAGTCTGCTATATTCTTGGATTACAGAATTTGCATTGGACACTGGTCCATCACTGGATGTCCTAAAGTATATTTAAGAACCATATAATTACTTTTGACCTTAACCATTCTTAAGTAAGTAATTTTCTGTCAGCAAAGTCTCACAAACAATAAATGAATGAGTAATCATGCAATCTGTTTTGTATTAGTTATCTAGATTAAAAAATATAGTCTGACCTATGACTGCCCTGCTCCCAACATTGGTGCTGTGGCAGTATGTTTCGGCTAATAACCTAGGCTAATGACATGGATTCAAATCCCACCACTGTAGCCAGTTGAATTTAAATTGCTTAGTGTGGGATTTTCAAAAATATGGCTAGTCTCCATAATAGTGACCATAAAACTATCTTATTATCACAAAATAAACCATCTGGTTCACTAACCCCCTTTAGGGAAGGAAATCTGCTATCCTTATCAGGTCTGACCAACATGTGATACCAGATTTATACATTGCAATTGACTTTTATCTGCCTTTTGAAATGGTCGAACCACTATAGAAAAATTAACAGGAATAAAATGGGATGGACCATCCATCTCAGTCTAGGAACTAGAAATATCAATGGCACACTGTGCAACATCCTTCTTGATAACGTCAGGGGACTAGTGCCAAAATTGAGCAAGTTGCCTTACAGTGTAGTCACGCAATAGCCTGACATAGTCATACTCACAGCATCATGCCTCATAGCTAATATTCCAAACGTTTCCATTTCCATTCCTAAATATGTGCTGCTCTTACTAATCTATCTACTTCCAATTTGTCAGTTTGTGACATTATTGGTAGGAATGGTCACTGCAAAGCTCTTGTGCAGACAAAATCCCATCTTCAAATTGAGGATATTCCCCATCATGTTTTGTGGCACTAAGAACATGCCGAATGAGATAGGTTCAGAAGAGACCTAGCAGCTCAAACTGAGCATTCAGTATGTGCTTTGAGCAACACAAGTATACTCAATTACAATCTGTAACCTCATTACCCATACATTGCTTACTCTACCTTTACCGTTAAGCAATGAAACAACCCCGCTTCAACTAGAAGTGCAGGAGGGCATGCTTGGAGTAGCACTAGGCTTTCCTAAGAATGAACCCAATCTGTTGAAGCCATTACACTAGACCAAATGTATATCAAACAGCAGGAGTAGCATGCAATGTACAGAGTAAAGTGATTCAACAACTAATGGATGAAATCAAAGTTCTTCAGTCTTGACCAATGCAATGCTGAATGGTGGTGGGCAATTAAACAATGAGCTGGAGGAGGAAACACTACAAATATCCTCATTCTGATTGCGAGGGAGGCCAGCAAATCAGTGAGATTCCAGCCATTTATACCATTTGGATGATGTTCATTGATGCCAGTCTTCAATCATTTATATTCACACCAACTGATGCTCAGAAATATCTGAAAGCATTGGAAACAGCAAAGGCTATGGGTCTAACAACATCCTAGCAGTGACACTGAAGACTTGGGCTCCAGAAACAGCTGCACCGAGTGCCATGCTGGTCCAGAACAGCTACAACACTGGTATCTATCCAACAATTTAGAAAATTACCTTCTGGAAAATCTAAGTACAGCACATCTACAGATTCCTTTATCTGCAGCATGTGTTACTTCTTTAAAGAATTCCAATAGATTGGTCAACCATGACTTCCGTTTCACTAAATCACGTTGACTCTGCCTAACCTCTTGGCGACACCATTTGATGGCATGGCGTCAGCTTTCACATGTACAAACATGTGACTCCCAACTACACTATCCTTCCCAAAAGTTCCACTGCTTTCGTCTTGTCAAATGTTTGTTTACATATGATGTTAGATCAGTCATACATTCCTCCAGTTTAATATTGACATGAAACAACTGAATTTAATATAGCATGTTGTGGTAGGAACCCTGGTGGCTGAGTCCATTTAATCAGGCCCTGTGTCAGTCTCCCTGCAGAGGCAAAATAATCCCTGAATAAGTCAGCCTGTGGAAAGGGCAGGCATGGGATTGTAGACCCGTGGTAACTAGATAGCAATTAGGCTCATTAATGATACCATTTTCTCTGAGCCCACTGAAGTGTAGTGATGGAGAGAGAAATAAATGGGAGTCAAAGAACTTTCCAACACCTCCAAAGGCCATCTGGCCAGCCTCATTGGGTCTGCAAGGGGCCTTCTTATTTGGGGGGTGGGCTTGGGGTTTGGATGTGATCCCTCATGTTCAGGCACGCTGCCACATTGCGGGACCAGCAATGGACATAGGCCTGGCCACTAGCAGTTAGTCTTGCACTTACCTCCAAACTGCATTCCCATCCTTCTGTGATCCCCACCCCTACAATCCCCATCTTGCCTGCAATTACCTTTGGCCTATGGTCCCTTGGCAATTTGTGACCTCTGGTGGATGCATTACCAGCAGCAGGAGCAGCCACTGTTCCTCAGGTATTACTGTTTGCAGTAGAGAACTACTAGTCTTCGATTGGCTGTCAGTTCGCGGAAGGTGGGACTACAGCTTTCAAGATGCTGAATCCCAGGGAAGGCTCCTTCAGTGACCACTTGGCCATCCCTGTGGAAATGATGAGAGAGTTCCACACCAGTTCTCTGATCTGTAGATGAGACTTCAGATAGGTTGATAAAATCCTGCCTATTGTCTATGGTCCCACAATTTCTGTACTCTGACTAATGCATCCAGACCCTTCCATGGTTACGGTCTCTTGTTGAAATTGAATGATTACAGCCTCATATTAAGCTGTGGTTCAGTCAACAACACTTTACCTCCAAAACAGGAGACTATAGGCCCCAGAGATAGTAAGAACTGCAGATGCTGGAGTCAGAGATAACGCAGTGTGGAGCTGGAGGAACACAGCAGGCCAGGCAGCATCAGAGGAGCAGCAAAGTTGGTGTTTCGGGTCGGGACCCTTCTTCAGAAAGGGTCTTAACTGAAGAAGAGTTCCAACCCGAAACATCAACTTTCCTGCTCCTCTAATGCTGCCTGACTGTAGGTCCCAGTCTGTGTCCAGAACTTCAGCACAAAAACCTAGGCTGATAGTACAAGACTATGAGAGGTTCTGCCTTTCATATGAAATGTTAAACCAAAGCCATGTCTGATCTTTATAGTAGATGTAAAAGACTGAAATCCTGTCCAATATTTATCCCTTATTCAACATCTCAGAAACAAATTATCTATTCACTGTCACATTGTTCTTGGTGGGAGTTTGCTGTGCGCATGAAAAAAATGACCACGCTTTAAAAGTACTTATTTGACTGTAAAAACCTTAGGACACAGTGAGTCATGAATGGTGCTTTTTAAATGTAAGTCTTTGCTCCCTCTACCTTCTATTTTTCCGTAATCTGAATTTTGAACCATTTATCGTGTCCATTACACTGTAACATCACTGGTCTCTCGCCCTGCCTCAGCACATGTATTGTTGAAACACCTCACCTCTGACATCACTGTCACCAAACTCAACAGTTTAAAATTTCTCTAGTTCAGCTTTCCAACTTCCATACTTCATAACAATTCACTGCGTACTTTATTATATTTTATGATATTTTATCCCACAATGCTCAACCGTCCAATTGAAACTTGCATTTGTGCCCCATGTTTAATAGGGTAAGACAATTCATGGGTCTTCACAGAAATATAATCAGACAAAAATAAAAATGATCTTGTTGATTTAACACCAGTACCTGCAAAATCCCTAACTTTAAAATTCTCAACCTTATGTTGAATCCTTTTACTTCCTTATCTCATCATATGTCTGTAAAGTGCTCCAATTCCATACACATCTCCTCAGATTTCTGTGTTCGTTTAACTTTGATCTTGTGCATCTTAGCTACTTTGTCCTTCCAGTGGGATATCTTAGCTGGTTATCACCTACACTCTCCCAAGTACAGGATCTTGAACCATTTTCTTTACAAACAAAAATAAAGCATTTTTTTCATGAAAATGATGCACTTTGAAATTAAAAACCAGGCTGTATTATCATGGTCTGTTTACAAAGCAACAGTAGCCACACTCAAAAATGTAATTTTTTTCTTCTATTCATTTGTGGGATATAGGCGTCACTGGCTGGCCAGCATTTTTTGCCCATCCCTAATTGGTCTTGAGAAGGTGGTGGTCAGCTGCCTTCTTGAACCACTGCAGTCCTCCTGCTGTGGGTTGACCCACAATGCTATTAGGGAGGATTTTGACCCAGCAACAGTGAAGCAACAGCAATATATTTCCAAGTCAGGATGGTGAGTGACTTGAAGGGGAACTTGGAGGCGGTGGTATTCCCATATGACTGATGCCCTTGTCCGTCTAGATGGAAGTAGTCGAGGGTTTGGAAGGTGCTGCATGAGGATCTTTGGTGAATTTCTGCAGTGCATATTGTAGATAGTACACACTGCTGCTACTGAGCATCGGTGGTGGAGGGAGTGGATACTTGTGGATGTAGTGCCATTAACTGGCTTTGAAGCACCTTGAGACCTCCGGAATACGTGTTCTGTTGTTCTATGTGTATAACATCTTTAGAAACAAGTGTGAAACCACCTTTCACTTTTTTTTTGTTAATGTAAGTTGACACACAAAAATATACCTTATCAAGGGAAGCATTTTTCTGGTTGCTGTGCATGGTGACATCCTAAATGCATTTGTATAGAATAGCTAAAATTTTGTTGCACATATCTCATATATTTATTTTATAATAATTTCTTTTTGGGGATACTTAACGTTCTATTGAAGAACATTTACAATCCTGTTAGTTTGTTACTTTTCTTTCAGGGCATTCCCCAACCACTGCGACTATGTGGCCAGCCTTCTACAACAGCACAACAATGTCACACTTAAGCTACTTGCCAAAACCGATAGAAATGTTTACGTCTAGTCAATCTGCAGGAAAATATGTACTGTAGCCTATGTTCTATACTACCCTGCAAAGCAATCAAGTGGCCAGGAACTCAGTAAAGTGATGGAGAGGACCAATTTTTTTTGTTTCTTGTTTGCTACAAATTGTTCCAATACACTTGGTCACCCCAGCCACCAAAAATAATGTTTGCCTTTTTAAACATTTACACTGCTATTGAGGCTCCTGATTTTATTATATCCGCACAAGTATCATTGACATTACATAGATACATAGCTGACTTCAGATACCAATAAGTTGATTTAAAATTATAAGAGGGAGCACTGTTTTTACCTTGTAGAAAGTGTCGAATGAATCTAAGGAGATTTACGTAAGGGGCGTAAATAATACATGTAATTTTTACATGGATAAAGTGGAGTGTTTCTGGACAGAATTAGGAAGGGGTATTGAAAAATATCTACTTCATAAAATGGGCCTAATTCGAGGTTTGAATTGCACAACAACTTTAACGAATCAAGCACAAGCAATGACAAAACAATCACTTGTTTCAGAAGGATCAGTAATATTCGAGACCATGAGAATAAGACATTGTTTTTCAGCCACAAGGGCTTAAACAGGGACCCTTTAAGGTGTAAAATAGTGAGTCATGGTATTCTGAAATGGCGGAAATATTTCTTTGGTATATCGTAACTTGCCAGTAATGACAGATTATAGAATTATTTTACTATTATTGTTATTAAATAAGACTAAGGGAAACAGTTTTCCTGTAGATAGATATACTGAAAGCAGAAATACTTCCATCAATACAAGATTGATGCTTTCACCTCTTTCCATCAGAAAGAAGTGCATTTTTCCATGACCACAAATACAAACTCTTCACATAGGCAATGTCTTAAAAACTATCCTGCACATTTCCAAATAAACAAAATGTTGTGTTCAGTAATATGATATGTGATCACGTTGTCAGATCTCATTATCAATGAACAAGAAAAGATATAAATATGAAAGACTTTTTGGCAAAAGTTCATGCCACAGGAGACTGAGTAGTTTTTACTAACATTAAAATGTTGGTTAATATTAGCTATAAAACAATTGTTGGTCACAACCCCTATTTTGTATGATAACATTTTCTGCAAATAACAACTATAAAGCATACACTCACCAATATTAGTACAAAGACCTTGGTGTTAAAGGGCTGGATTTTTCTACTCCCCTGTCAGTTGTTATGGCAGCTGAGAGGCATGGCAAAACCCAGTGGTGGGCCTTCCTACCACATACATGTTTTCTCTGACCTGTCTGAAATCTTATGGCAGCAAAGGGGAAGCCCTCCACTTCCCTTGGACCTATTAAGACCTTTCATTCCAATTAATATCCTGACATGGCAGAAGTGGGAGGCAATGGCCTAGTGGTATTATTGCTTGACTGTTAATTCAGAAATCCAGGAATATTCCAGGGACCTGGGTTTGAATCCCACCACGACAGATGGTGAAATTTGAATTCGATGGAAAAAACTGTAATTAAGAGTCTAATGATTATCATGAATCCATTGATGATTATCAGGAAAAACTCATCTGTTTCACTAATGCCGTTTAGGGAAGCAAACTGCCATCCTTACCTGATCTCACCTACGTGTGACTCCAGACCCACAACAAGGTGGTTGACTCTTAACTAGCCTTGAGCAAAGAATGCTGGCCAAGACAGCGATGTCCTCATCCCATGAATGAATTTAAAAAAATCTCATCTCTAAGTAATTAATACAGCTCCCAACCTTAAATTGCTGTAGTGCCTGGGTAGACTACTACCCCTCCCCCAAATGTTTTAACTGAGAGAAGGGGGATGGAGACCATATCATCCCATAAAATCCACCCAAAATGTTATGTTTAATAAGTAAGTCACTTTTGTAAATGCTCATCCCAGGGTTCAATGATCAATGCCTGTGCTCCAAGTTATTTAAGACTGCACCATCATGATGCTACAGAACAGTGTGTACAATAATTGTTTGTTTGGAAGCTTGGGTGTAATGGCCACATATTAAGTAAAATTAATCTTCACTATATTTTTCAGGTAAAAGTTTTACATTGACAATTACGGTATTCACAAACCCACCTCAAGTGGCCACTTATCACAGAGCTATAAAGGTTACAGTGGATGGTCCTAGAGAACCAAGAAGTAAGTTGTACTTTCCTATGTTCATTACTTATATGATTTATACAGACAACAATTGTAGTATTTTTGTTTGATTAGATGATTTGAAATTTTAAAAAATATTTGTCGTGTCAGAAGAACAATGAATTGAGCCTCTTTATGGTACCTCAACAATAAGAATTTATGGGTCTGTTGAGAATGTCAAAAGTCCTTTAGATTAACATTATTGTTTACTTTCAAATCACAAAAAAACTGTTAAATTAATTTAGATTATGACAAATTTAAGTTCTTCTTGTGTTTAAGCTGTTCTATTAAATTGTTTTGGAAAATATCTTAAACAAGTTATATCCCTCTCCCATTAATGTTTCACCTCAGGTGTGAGATTTGATAAATGAATAGCTCAACTTTAATCATTTCCAAATCATTAACCATTTTAAAATCAATGATTCTGCTGGATCTCAGTTTACTTGAGATATTCTATTCAAGTTCAAAACAATTTTTATTCAAGGTATATGGCAACCCATGTGTCAAGATGATAGCAAGAAACTGTCTGATAAAGCTGTGTTTTTGAGTCTGCACTAGCCATTTCAAGAGCATTCCAGTCAGTCTAGCTTCCCCGTTGTTTCCTCATATTCCTGTGAATGTGCTTAAGCCTTCTCCAATGCTGATGAACAATAGTCAGCAAAATCTCCACTAAACTATGACATTGAAGCTTCCTATGGTTTGGTGCTAATATGTAAAGTTTACTGACCAGAATTCCCAATCTGTGCTCAGTTATCTGCTCCTAGCCAACACAATCTCATGAGTGCCATAATTCATTATATCGCCCTTGTATTGAATAATGAAAGATTGGCCAATCCAAATTATGAGTCGGTAGCCATTGTTAGGTGATTATGTGTCTGGAATCTGCATGAGAATAGGATCATGCGTGCCAGTGATAATCCTTACATACAATATGCTGGCATTTATGTCAAGGTTAACAAGCAAATAATAGCCATTTGTGTAAGGCAACAGAGCATTGTGCCATCTTGTGGCACATGAATCATAATTATTTTAAATTTGATGTGAATGTTGACACCTCTCCTTGTTAGCTCATTACAATGTCTCTGAATCTACAAAATAATTAATTTTGACATTTTTGGATAGCTACCAAATGGCCACCAATCCAACATAAATCTCAGTATTTTGGAGGAGCAGTCACTTGACATTTTTGATGAACAATAGCCACCTTACTGTTATATAATCATTTTCACGCAGAATTCAGTGCCATCACACCTCAGAAAAGATATTCAGGACAAAGTAATTTGTGTAATATTTTTGTCTTCATTTTCAAAATCTATGGATCAAGGGGGCAGTTAATCTCATTTAGAAAGCAATTAGAATGTACACGATGATTCTATTTGTTACAGTTTACATAACCTAAGCATGTTTTGAAATGGTATTGTGCTTCAGTACTGACCGTTAATTAATCAAAAACATTCATGTCTAGTTTGTTCACATTCCAAATTTTAAACATTTGAAGTAAACAGTGTAAAATATGCTTTTAGAGAAGTAAAGAACAGTTCAGTATAGAGGAGGCCACTCAGCCCATTGAGTCTGCACTGTTCATTCCAAGAGTAATCCAGTCAATCTAGCTTCCCCATTGTTTCCTCATATTCCCAGGAATACTTCTCTCTTTCAAATGCTTATTTAACTTCCTTTTCAAAGCTATTATTAAAACTGTTTCCACTGTCCTGTTCAAGAAGTGCATTCCAAATGTTCGCCATTCAGTGCTTAAAAATGCTATTCTCATGTCTCCTCAGGTTCTTTAGTAATCACATTATTTTATCTGAATCCTTAATGATGTTAAACACTTCAGCAAATTTATATCAAAGTGTGCTCTGCATCGAGGAGAACAACCTCATCCAAAAACATAATGATAATTCTTCATCCTTGGAATCATTCCAATAAATCTCTCTAGTACTCTCTCCAAAGATTTCACGTCTTTCCTAAAGTGTGCCCAGAATTGAACATGATGTCCCAGCTGTGGCCAAACTAATACCTTACATGTGTTTAACATAGCTTTCTGACTTTTGTACTTAGTGCCTGTATTTTTAAAGCCAAAAATTCTGTCTGTTTTAGCAACTATCATTTTCAAACACTTGTATGCAAACACAAGGTAACTGTTTTTGAATTTCCTTCAAACTTTTGATTTTTTTAATTGTTTCTCCTCTTTCTTCTGACCACACTTTGCTGTGGAGAATTTCATCTATGCATTCCATCAGCTTTTCTATATAGCTTGATATGTATTAATATCACCTGTACTGCTTACTGTAGGTTGATGAAAGGAAGAGTGAGGAAAACAAAATAAGGTAAACAACAGGAGAAAAAGAGAACATGAGAAGCAATAAAAGAAGATAAAAGAAGTAAACCACAAAAAGAGAAGCAATGTCAGGGAAGAAAAACATTGATTAACTATACTGTGATGCAGAATGGTGTTAAAAAATTAATAACAAACTTTAGTGTATAATCATAGAAACAAACATATATACAAACATGTGAAGAAAGGGAAAGCATGGGAATCATTTCAACTTCTTCCATGTGCTTCATTTTTCATTTTTACTTAGGTATTTCTATGTACACACCAACAGAACCCAACAGGATAGATATGTTTCCAGATTTCCTTCTGAGGGAGATAAATTTCCAGTTTTGTTCTTAAAAGAGCAGTTGTTACCAAAGTTTGCGCAGTGTAAATATAAATTAGGGGAGGCGACGGCCTGGTGGTTTTATTGCTGGACTGTTAATCTAGAGACCCATGTAATGTTCTGGGGAATAGGGTCTGAATCCCGCAGCAGCAGATTGTGGAATTTAAAATCACCACTATGGTTTTAGTAAAATACTTCCCTGATTGGGTACTTCCAGAGGTGGGTTGTGTTGCAAGTAGTGTATTATGCATTTATGAGCCTGTGATTTTTCCATCTGCTATACAGAAAAAGGAATACCACTTCCCATCAAAATCACTGGATTATAAAATCAACCATAGTAGCTTTATCATCAATACTAGTAGCAATAGAGGAAAGAGCATTTTAAAACTGCCCTTATTTCCATACAAATGCAATTTTTTTCTGAACGGAAACCTTTCTTCATTAATAGTGCTTGGGTTTCAGCTTTATGTGGGAAAGATTCTAGCTGTGAAATTAATTATCTGAAAGATATGTAAGCCTCAAATATAATAGGCATACCAATTGAATAGCACTTGTCAGCCTGCAATAAACTAAAGATGGCTGGGTAGAATAGATGTTATATTAAATATTGAATATTTATATGATTTTATTTATTTGTCATTACACATGAGTAGAGCATCAGAATCAGATGTGAATGGAATATCTGCTCGGACTGTCATGGTAAAACCAAATGATAAACATAATATCAATGGCTGTTTTATGTTTTAGCCATTGAGCACTGAATTAGAACTTGTGCAAAAGATTAAAAAAAAGTGAAGATTATTTTTTGTGGCTCTAAAGAGTTTAGCAGTGTATCAACAACTTTAATCTTCTCACTATTATCTCCTTCAACAACGTGTGTAAGCTGGCAGAATTTCTATGATTGAGAATAGCAGTTCTGAAGTATAAGGCCTCTAGAGCAATAGTCAGGGCATTCATGAGAGATAATGTGAATGCGTTTAAGTGCTGTATAATTGGCAATTTAGTGTAGGTAATTCTGGAATTGCTACATGCTACATTGTTGACTGTGGTCAAGACCGAACGTAAGCATAACTAACAAGTAATCACAAGCTTTCACAGTGCTGCCCCTTCATCAAGACCTTCTGTGGACTATGCTGTTCATCTGATGATTCTATTTTATATGAAGGTCCTTTTTTTACTATTTTCATTGTAGTAGTTGATGCAGGATGCAAGAAGGCGTGTTGATTTGCTCTGTGCCATTGGCATTTTTCTTCTTGCTGTACAAAAACAGAAGAAAATTTGTAATTCTGGCTCCAAGAGTGACGACATATGATGCTAAGGACTGAGTGTAATGATTCTGAGGTTGAGTATCTCCTGTTTGGAAGGAAGTGCATAGGAGAACAAGGGATTACCAAGAACAGAATGGAATTCTTGCTGAGCATGAGGTAGATGGTTAGTTTCATCAAGTCATATAGCTTCAATCTACTCATAGGCAATATTGTCTCATATAGTATTCTCTAAGTAATGCAGGGATGATGATTTATTATGTACCATGTTGCTCTGAAAACAGAAAAGTTCTCTTGACCTCCTGCTAATTTAAGGAGTGTGTACAATGATAAAGTGTGAGAGTATTCTGTTGCCCATTCTGATTTGCTGTTATGATGACCCTTTGACATTTAAGTATAACAATTGTTTCAGACATATAATTATTTGGATAAATGAATTATGTTATACAATAAATTATAATTTGCAGTTTGTATTTATGCATGAATAATCATAGATGGTAAGCATTCAAAAAATTGTGATACTACATGAATTCTTTGGATGGGTGGAAAAAGCAAAATGTGAAAACACTTTGGTGTATGCATACTTAAAGCTACTTGTACAAAAAAGATCTGTATTTGTTCACCCCATCAATTGTCTCTGCCTGGCTTGTTGCAACAATGTTTCCTGTGGGGAGTGTCTTTTAGAACCAAAGCAAAATTAATTTCCGAAAGCTCAAGTTCCAATGTGACATCAAAAACTCAGCAGTGAATGATTAGTCAGGATTTTTGCAACTCCCTTGTGTAGTAGGCAAGAATGCAGTTGTGTAAATGGTTGCTGGATCCATTTAAATGATACCTAACAGCTGATCACATGTAAATATTCCTTAAGACACTCTGCAATATGTGTGGGAGCTGGATAGACAGAATATTCAATATGTTATGAGTACAAATAATTAAGGCAATAGCAACTCAAATTCAGAGCAAAATCTTTATCCTAGACTTGTATGAAAAGATGTATGTTCAAGTTTGTAACCTCTCCACTGACCAACCTCCTCCCCACCCAGTGACATCTCACATTTTCACTCAACTAAAGAGTTTATAGTTTGCTTTTGCTCAGTGGCACTCAACAACATCAAATCTTGGGCTATTTTAACTTCAGGTCTCCATCACCCGTAGAACTAATTTCCAGCTGAACCCAGTGAGAACAACATGGAAGCTAGCAAGTGGGAATGGGAAGTGCAATGGAAGGGGTGTGCTGGAGCTAGTTGAAATTGGGGCTATTTTTGAACAATATCACTTTCACACGTCAAATTCTTACTCTGGCCTTGACACAGCTGGAGAAAGTCTGTAGTTAAAAGACCAAAAAAAGGGGATGGAATCCAGTTCCACATGGAATCTGTCCCTTTTTTAAAGCCCATTTGCAGTGGGGTGGGTATATGGTATGTGGGAACTAGTTGTCACACTAATGCCCCAGAAAAGGTTCCAATTTTCATGGGAAGTAAGGTTACTGAGCCATTTGCCCCTTTTGAGAGGAGGCATATTGCTGTCCCTTTCACGAGTAATTATAGGTGGTTACTTCCAATGCACTCACATTAAATTGACAATTGACCTGAGGACTCTTGAGGCACAGTGGTGGTGTCCCTACCCCAGGCCAGAGGGCAAGTGTTCCAAGTTCCACCTGCTCCATAGTATGTATGAGAAGGTTGATTAAAAATATCTAGACAATTGACTGTCACCAGGATTTGGAATGGGATTGACATCCATACCTGTAGATGGTCAAATTGCAGAGACCCAGAGAACTTGCCTTTTTTATTGTTTTGTTTAAACACCAGGTAGCTCCACCAGTTTCAATTGTAAGAGTTTCAAATTGTGCACTAAAAAAAAGGACCGGCTCATCATTGTGACTTGTGGAAGATGATATTAATGTGGCGTGTCACTGGTGTTATTGAGCTGATCATCCAATGTAGTATGATTTTTTTTTATATCAAACAATCATGCAAACTGAGGGGGGAAAGGGAATTGGACATTGCTTTCAGAATGCCAAGATTTTGCAAGGTGCTTTCCTTTCTGAATTAGAGCTGCAGTGTGCTGTGCTCACAAAATGTCACAATTTCCAGTGTGTTTAAAGATCAGCTTTCCAGCTGTTGACGGTTGATCTTTTTAATTCACATGTCAGTAACAGATTTTTTCCACCGTCTGCCTCCAAGTAAGCAGTATTACATCACAGGTGTTTTTTTAAGGAGAAAGCATCTGGCACTCCCTCTTGGAAACACTTCTTAAAAGCATATGACCATCATGCGCTAAAAGATTAAAAACTCCTCCATCTTATAATTGCTGTGTTTAACTTTGAACTTTTTCCTCATTGAGTTTTGATTCAGCTTTGTTTAAAGGATTTCATTGCTTTGTTCAAAAATAACTAGCAGATGAATTTCTAGATTGCTTTTTTTTCAGTCTCTTAACTTTTCGATGGTTAAAGAGTTAGTCGGGGCAAAAGTGACACATCTAGAGCTAGTTGCTTGCGCAATCGTCTGTCTTACTGATGTATTGACCCGGAATACTTAAAGTGTTGTCATTGCTTCTGAAAAAGTACATAAAGAGTTTTATTCAAAATCAACTTCTGAAATAAATTATCAGGTCATCAATTGCAAAATGAGCTACTGCATTAAATAACTCAAATTAAATATCAAAATTTCATCTTCCAGATAATTGTGATTATGCAATTAAAAGGCAAATACAACATGCAAGATTTTGTAACAATTGACAGTTTGTCATTAAATTTAAGAATAGATAGAACTTGAATAACATAGATTTTAATTTTCAAGAGAATCAACCAAAAAATAGAAACAACACATAGGAAAGATTAAAATGTGTTCACAAACAAAAGCACTTTTTACTTTACCATCATTATTATTGCTTTGTGTCAATGTTTAGTAGTTTTGCTTTTGTTTGTTTGATTTGCGTTTCATTTTATTTTCAACGAT